ACTTTACGAATAGCGGACATATTCCTACACCCAAAGCTTACTCCCCAACTAAACCTCCACTCTATGCAAGCTCATTCACGTTCTTACGCGATACTACCCTCAAACACACACACAATTCAATCCCTATTACTTATGTTAATCATCTAATACACTTTTCAATTCTCATTCACAGGCTAACCAGGATGTGCCGATTCCATAGTCATATGAACCTCCTCCTCTCCTGCCTGGGATCCCGAGTTAGGCCTCCTGAGAACAAGCTTTAACCCGCCAGCGTTGAGATCAACATTTGCGGGCCCAGCATGTTGAAGACATGAGAAAAGCCTTCACCTGCAGAACACCGACAATTTTCAAATACTTTTAAATTATTTTACATTCGTTTGCCAAATCAAATATTTTTATTATTTTTAAGTTTTTTAATTATTGTAACTTAAACTTAAAATCTTATTCGCATACTATTGTAACCTTTCAATTCGAATATCGCAAATTCCTTAATGTTGTAGTTTCGAAGTTTGTAAGCGACGATACGAGGTGACCCGAGCGCGCCAGCCTAAGTTTTTTAGTCTTCTACTGACCGCCACCGCTTTCACATCGTTAATTTTCAAATCCGCCCCTCTGGCACCTTGAATTAGAATTTTCTTTGTAATCAAACATATTGGAGAATAAACACTTGAGATTCATAGATTGTAAAGCAAATTGTAGCTCTTTTCGTTACGCATTTACATGCATACGGTTTAGGCAAGTGCACTCTGCACGTACGCAACAAGTGGACGTAAGTACTCGAACAAAACTTAAAATGAATAAATTTATGCATCGATATAAAACGAATAAATAATTAGAAATGGAAACTCACGAAATATATAATATTCATATCTCCCCATACATATACGTACATTCTTATCTATTTTTTCTTGCGTGCGACCGCCTTAAATTCCAAAGGCACCAACACGTAAATATAACACTGGGACGTCGCTCAACATCACGAGCGCCACCCAGGAAAATCCTGAATAGCATTACAGTAATGCTACGGCCACACCAGGCACTTCATAGGGAGTTTATAATACTGGAGTTAAACGCATGTTAATATTTTATGTAAAATTTCTACACATATGCACGATAACAAATGCAAGAATACACGCCACTTGCCACCCAACCATAAGAAATTCAAAGCCAAATAGAACTTTGGTCAACCAAATACTACAAATGGCAGAATTAACCGATTCTCAGCACTGCGCTCTAAAACTGAGAGGAGCTCGGAAGAGTTTCCAATCGCCTGTCGCTTGTGCGACAAGGACCACGGCATAAGACTTTGCCCCATCTACCACGGTAAGACGGCAGAAGAACGACTGCGAGCGATCCTCATACACCGCTACCGCCCGAACTGCCTCTCGCCATTTCACCGTCTGGAAAATTGTGTCAGCGCCGGCAGATGTCACAGGTGCCGTGAGAAGCATCATACTTCGCTCCATATCGAAACCAATGATAATTGGAGGCAGCCAGCACGCAATATAGAGGATGATGACAACAGTTCCCAGGGTGCGTTATCCATCCACATAGGAGAACCGTATAATTCATGGGCTCAGCAGGTCGGGGAGGCAGAGATGGACGAAGCTACGACTGAGGTCGCTCCTGTAGAAGTAAGTGGCGGCTCGGAAACCCGTTCTTTCCGACCACCACTCGAACCTGAGAAGCGAAGGGAGAGCAGCTCTGCAACTGGGTTTTTGAGACAGCCTGCCCAGTCCCAATCACAGCATGCGGGTGGCTCGGAAACTAGTTCTTTCCGACCGCCCCCATATCCCAGCGGTAAGAGACGTGATGGCGCGGAAACTGCTCCTTTCAGCTTGTCTCGACGTAAGACTGTTGGGAAAGCACCATATCGCCGACCACAAGAGCAGAACCGAGAGCAGAATGCGGCTCTGGCCGTTCGACGACTGGGGTTTCGAACAGGTCGCATAAACAACAGTACTATGGCTACACCGAGCTTACGCTCTTTTCAGCCGATTGCACCGACCGCCATCGTTTGAATCGAGTCTGGTGGCCGCCTGCACCTGGTCCGCGCAAAAATTGACCCCTGCGCGCCCAGCACGGTAATCGACGCTAGTCTGGCGCGGGACCTACAATTGGAACACGCAGGTTCTGGACGAAACCGGAGATGCTCGCTCGCACTTAGAGGAAAATACGGTGTCGCAGAACGCGTAACAACTCAGGCGACAATCACGGCACAACACAACCGATTGAGCCCGACAACGGACATCGACCTCGCGGCTGCCGCGCCATTTCAGTTTATGCGGTTGGCCGATCCAAATTTTTACCGGGCTACCCCGATCCGTCTGACTCTAGGCGTCGATGTATACGCCCAGGTCATGCTAACAGGGACCCCCCCCATATTTGGTCTGTGGCTTATTGGCGCAGGCAACCATATTTGGGTTAGTGGTTTCCAGAGCTTACCAAAAATAAAAACAAATTAGAGAGTTTAGTTGATTAATAACGCAATAAAGTGCATTGAAAATCAAAACCACATCCATTTTTTTCTTTTAACTCTCTCTTTAATTTCCCAATAGCTATCTAGGAAGAGGCGGTGCAATCTGGGTGTGACAAGCGAGAACTAAGTGCAACCTGGAGCACTTCCAGTCTCTAGGGGTCACCGTCAAACTTATTATTATGCTTTCTGACGTGGCATGGTGGGTACCTTCCGTATTCCGTTTTCATAGTTTGCTTATCGCAAGGGGGGCGGTATGTATAGGCCCATACCTAAATATGCTGCACCACCCTAATGCGCGTTAAATAATTTTGTATCTGAGTGCACACACATATATAAGATACGGCTAACATTCCAGCCGTTAACAATATGCCCCGCCGTACGGTAACTGAGTTGAGGGGAAACTTAACGAAGGTTACTGTTCGGCGGGCTCAAACCCTTTTTCGTTTGTTGGCACTCCTTCACTTCCTTGAAGACCAGCATAGCGACTGCCAGCCACCACACCACGTCAGCAAGGTAATCTCATCAAGCTATTAGC